ATTACTGAGCACAGTAGACGATAAGCACAAAGTCCACTGCCAGTTCTCAAGATTTAGGATCCTTGTGCTATTGCACATTCCTGACACCAAAACTGATAGCACAAACTAGTATTTGACCTGTACACATTCTCAACTCCATTATTTTTCGCAGCATGCTAAACTAAACAAAAGAAGAACCCCTCCAACATACTCATAATTAGATTTTGTCTCCTGAAATTCAGGTCTGCCTTTCACTATATTCAATAGCTATATTTATTAACTGTTTTTCCCTTCAGCAAAAAGAAAAAAAAAAAAAGTGTTAGAATACGATACTCAGAACACGCTGGAAGAAGAAAGCTTGAAATAGCAAAATCAAGTAACTTTGGAGGTGGCTGTACCATGTTCCCTGGCGTATCAAGAAATGCTACAATTAAATTGAACTAATTAGATTTTTCAATCTGTTAAAAAGGTAACATATTCAGTTCAAAATGAGAGATAAGAGATTCCTTTGGGTCACATAAGATTAAAACAAAGTTTCTATTCTATCAGTTAAGTATTCCACAGAAGCCGTATTGACACAAAATGCAGTGACAATACATCACCCATGCTGCATCTAGTCCATGATACTCCCTGAACTACCACTTGTGAAACTCCTCTCCCAAAGGCAACCTCTATATATAGCTACAGAACAGTGTTTTAAATTGTGAACAGACCACACTTACTCAGATTTTTATATGAAAAGAGACACAATTACCCATCCATCTTAAATCAAGATTTCTACCAGGGCCAGGATGGGGGAGTGTGGGGGGGGGGGGTTAAAAAAGCCTTTTTTTAAAAAAAAAAAAACACACCACCAATTAACCTAGCAGAATATCAAGTCCCCAATAAAAAAGCAGTAACTCTGATCCTCTGCATCCAGTCTCCCTCTTCCAGGAAACCAACATTCTATGAATTTTCATGCCTACTAATATGCAACCAGGAATGGTAAATCAAGAATCGTATTTAATAGTAAGGGAGAAAGATCTGCTTTATAAGGAACGTTCCACCGCATAGCAAGCTTATCTGATGGAGGAAAATACTTTGGCCTGCATGAGCCATGGGCCCTGTATTTTGTCACATCAATATCTAGTTTTTATCCCTCCTGTCCAAAAGGCAAAACTCAGAACGTGCACAGGGAAAAGAACTCTGCTGGGGTTTAACAGCACATTTAATTTCAGAGAAGACCCTGATTCTCTAATTAGGTAACCCAAATAAAAACAGTCTCAAAAATGCTTAAAATATGTACTTCATGCTTCTTATGTAAATGCTACTCAAAGAATGGTTATACTGAGACCAATGGATGACTGGCACAGGTGTCTCAATGGTTATTAAAAACTGTAAGTATAAATGCTATTATTGCTGATGGAGGATAGGAAACATTGTGCTTCATGAATGCGTTACACATTTCCATACAGTATCCCACACCTTTTTCCTCATTGACATTGTAAATTGTAAGAGAAGCACTTTAATCTAGACTGTACATTTAATGTAGACAGAATTAGAGCTCTAAGTCATAATTTGGAAGTTTACCACAGTCTACTTCCATTTGGGACACCTCTCAGCTGCACAAAGACATGAGATCCTGTAACTGAAAGTTTTCAGAACCTTATACATGCATTTTTTCATTACGAGAGGCTTTTTTTCTGCCACTCACTCCCCCTTAACCTTATTTCCTCTTTTAGCTTCAGTTCTGTAATAGTAACAACAATCTTTTGGTAAAAGTCTGAAGTTTTAGAGACAACCTAAATCTAAAGACCTACACATAGCACAGCTGTTAGCTGTTTGATGTTGGGAGCTACCTTTTCTCCCTATAAGCAAAAGCCACAAATGTTGTCTGCAGATGTCAGAGTTGCCAATGAGAAGGAAAGGAGAACAAGCCCTTTCAGATAGTCTTCACTGATAGCTGATCAGCTGTTGGCCATCAACTAAAACCTTTTCATCTGCACAATCCACTCCAAACACAACCTCTTATTCTACCAAAAACTCTGAAACTTTTCAATGCTTTCATAGGGCTCTATGTTTCACTTCCACCATATTTCTTAACAGAGAATACAAGATTCTTCTGATGACTTAGCTGCAATCAATGCCCAAGACAAAACTATTCAGTCAGTTTAGTATGGGTTAAGTTCAAAACAGTAATAAGAGAGTTGACTTACAAGCAGAGGTAAGTTTAAAAAGAAAAGAACCTGGAAAACACTGTATTAAAATCTTTTCCTCCTGCTCCATAAAGAAATATTTTTATCTCACTCAAAAGCTGATTTGAATCCAGAACCACTTACTGACAGGAAATAAACAAACAAATAAAAAAACCCTACAACACATTAACTGTAGTTTACACAGAAATAAAATGCCTTTTTATCCTTAAGAGCACTCTGAATTAAAAGTTTTCGATCTATTCTACCCAAACTAACATCCCCATATTTACAGCTTCTAAATTTCTCTCCTCAGCTTCCCCCAGGGCTCATCAACATTGCTCAACTTCAACAATGAAACTCCACTAGCTATTTCATTTCCTATTTTTCCTACCTTTGCACAACATAACATACAGACAAGCAACTGAATACATTTTCACTTCAAAGATTCCTCTTCCTCTTGTCTGTCAAAACCCATCTCCCCTCCAAACCATACAGGTTTGAGCCAAACACAAAAGCTACTTGGCACTATTCTTTAAATGTTGCACTTTCAAAAAGAACAAGTGCTCCTGAAATTAAGTATGAGTAAGAAGATTAATTTAAAGGAACATGAAAGATTCAAGGAAAACCAGTAAAAACATATTTTAAAATGCATCTGAGCTCCACACCCTGCACCAGGATATTTACTAGTAACTACACATCTGTACAAATGAATTCACTTGCAACTTCCAGAATTAAAACAGATGTTAATGTTAATTCCGAAATTAAGTTTTTGATTTTTAGTGGACATAATAGAAAGAAAATAACAAGGCCACATTTCATTCTCTGAGCATTGTTAAAAATTGTAATGATCTGCTGACTTGTGAAAAAAACCCCGCTCTGAAAAATCCCCAAGGGCTTCTTCCCAAGTGCCGCATTGAGAGCAGATGGCCAACATCAACTCTGCAATTACCAGTCTGGCCTGGCAGTCCCACAGATCATAATGATACTCTCTTCTTTTTCTGGATCTGGGGAGGGGGTAGCTCGAGAGATGCAGACAACTAAGTATCAGAGGCAACAGCACTCCCTACTCAACGTACATATACAGTCAATTTCCAAATCTGCCATATGCTCCTTCTGTTAACTTTCATTTCCCTCCACTTTTCTTTAACATTTTCTTGTTTGAAAAATTTTCAGTAGCGGAAAAGGAGGTGGGAAATTGATAACATTAAGGATACACTAGAACTGACCATTATCAAGCATCGTCAGAGGCACAAACTTCATAAACTGTCTGGTGTTGCAACTCTTCCCCTTTTTATTTTACTTTGAGAAACCCAAAAAGCAGCTCATAACAATGATCTATTAAAAGCATGCAAGTGGATAGAGTTATTAATTAACAGGTAACAAATGCTTATCAAAGTTGTCATTATATCAGTGTGCCATCATGCCCCCACCCCCAAGAACAGTTGCTCTGTTCTCCTATTTAGCCAGGAGGACATCTGATGAGGAGGTGCTGTTTCATTTCCTCTCCTTCCTCCCACCCCTCAAATGGAGAAGCCCTCAAAGAGGGGGGAGGGGAGAACATGTTTTTAATTCAAATGCTGCATCTTAAAATACTACTGTGTAACTCTTGGGTGAGTCTGATTGTAAATCTATATACATACATCATGAGAGTGCTTTATTCCCCTTACATCTCTTGGGGGGGGGGGAACAAGGCAATAAGGCTTCTGCATTAATAACCATTTACTATTTCAGTTTTACACCCAAGAATTTGAGTATTTGAGTAAAAACTTTATTTTGCCAATGCCGATAAAGGTTTAGAAATCAAAGTAAACAGCAAGAAAGCTATGAGGACTATTCTACCAAGTTCCTTTCCAACTGATAGATGCAACAGGGAGAAGGTGGAAAGGATTTCCTCATGTGCAAAGAGGCTTGACAGACTTAACTCTGAGGCACTCAGACCTCTCAGGAATGCTTAGCGCCCCTATAAAGACTTCTGTCTTTCACATTGATTCTGCATTCCTTACCTCATTTCTATTATCTCTTCCCGTTCTTCCTCATTTCAGCTACCCCTTTTTGAAAAATTTACCAGGCACAGAAAGGCGCTGGAGAAAAGTACATCACCGTCCTGCTGTTGTTACCTTAGTCTTGAAAAATCTTACTGGGAAATAAGGCTATGCAAGAAGAAAACCTCAAACCTTATTACTGCCTAGTCTCTCATTCAGGCTTAATTCCTGTGACACATTCCATCAGGGAGGGTGCCAACGTTATTGAGATGCTGTTACCGTAGAAGCTGAACCCCTCCCTGACAACTTTGAGTAATCGTGATTTAGTCCTAAGTAAGTATTAACAATCTTTAGATACTGTTGATTTTCCTTAAAGATCTTTGACTATGTGTCAAATGCCATGCAATAAAATGTGAACATACTTCCCAGCAGAAGAAAGAAATGAAAAGACAACACGCCCCATTCTCTTCCCAGCCCCAATGAGTAAGCTTTCTTTGCTGACACACACACAAAATACCAGAAAGCGTTGTTTTTTCATCAACTCCCTCAAAAGTTTTTCTGCTTTTACCACTTGTTTATCAAGTGCTGTAGTACGGGATATTACTTCTTTGTATAAATCTGGCACTTCTTGTAACTGCAATTAATGAAAGATCTAACACAAGTCCCGTCTTTGTGGCAGAAATGCAAGTTAATGCACACAACTCATGCAGAAGTAAATTAATTAAACCCCACCAAAACAATTACTTGGTCCAGACAGGAAAACAAAGAACTACATGCGCTCAACAGCTTTGGAAAAGTATCTTTGAAACATTCTGGATCGTTTCTCTCTCGGAAACATCCAAAAAACTTAGTAGTGTCAACTCACCTTCCACACTATCAGAACAGGAGGTACCAATCCCAGTGTCCCCGCTGTCGGAAGCTATACTGTGTCTTCTGACAGGATTGTTCTGACTGCTTGATGAAATGGTTGTGGACTGCCACAGGGATTCAGTACCAGGTAACCATCCCACTGAGGAATAATCTGAGCCTACAAAGAAGGAAGCCAGAAGTCTGTCATTACAGATACAGTACAGAATTCAACAACAAAATAACAGTCAATATGAAAACTGAATCCTCTATTTCACAGTTCAGATTTGAGCCAGACTCTGTGCCAATGTTTTTGGGGTATCTTTTTATTAAAATACTTTTGCTAGTTGGAAGCTTCCCAAAAAAGTTCCAGTGAATACATTTTTACTATTTAGAAACATGAGCCTTAAACTGTTCTTGTGCTAACTTTAATAAGACATTTATCATACGATTCCTATCCTAGAATTTATTCTCAATTCACAGAATTTTGCATTGCAAGCATTTAAATAAAGTCAGAGAGATGAATGAATTTTAGACAGAAACCAGTTGAAGATTTCATCAGTTACATACAGTCATTTCCAACTGTGCACAAACCACATGACCTAGGTGATAAAATAAAGCCAGCAATTAAACTCGTAACACTGATATTTAAAGTAATTCATTACGTTCCACTGTTACCAGTAGTTTTCAGTTATCAAAAGACAGACTACCAACTCTGATACTACATAGTAGCTGCACACTAATTGTCTTTGTGAGATACCTATCCATCTAGTGTTTTATTTCATTTTGGTTAGTTTTTTATTTAAATAATTGTTAAAATATTAAATTTTAAAGCACAATTCAGAGCGGGAAACAGTTCCTCTGTTTAAGGAACTCTTGAGAATGTGTGGCCTACTTTACAGTCAGTCCCAAGGGAAAACACCCCAGAGGACGATCACAATTTCAAATAGCCAATATCTAAATCTGAGCATTGTTTATAGGCAGACTACTGATCAGCATGGTCGCACTCCAAACCAGCAGAGCCACATAAAGAACCCTCGAAAAAAGCATGGCCTGCTCTTGATTTTATATATAATCACATACATACACCCCCTCTAGCAGTTAGCTTTACATAACACACTCCGCAGGAAATGACTCATGAAGAAGTATCAGTTCACATACAATGTCTCTTATGCTACATGTGGTTATTTTTAGGTCACTTAAACATTTTCAGCAGTGTCCATCCAGAGCTGTAACAGCAATTTGCCTCTGCAATGACATCTGCACATCATTCCTATTCCCAGCTGTACTTGTTTCCCAATAAATTAAATAGTTTAGAAAAGGATGTAAAAATGAATACATATGTGCTTATATATATAAAACCCCCCCCATATATATGAATACATACATACTCCCCATATAGCAGCCAGATCACTAGCCAGAGTGATAACAGCTGCTCGCCAAACCACTTGTAAATTGAGGAATACAGTACATGCTTCCTTACTGTATATACTATTTAACTGTAACATGACATCTAAGACAATCTACTTTCTGTAAGCAGGTTCTTGGAGATCTTCAATATGCCCATCCATCTCATTTGTCTCAAATTCATTCTCCTCTGAGGTTACTGCCTCTTTTTCTCTTTAACTACCTTTCTCAGTCATCAGAATCACTCAATTCTCCTCCCCCTTCCTTCTACTTTAGCCATACCTCATGCAATATATTTCCTCTCTTCCTTAAACTTTTTGCTTTTCTTCCCCAAAAGCCTCTTTGTTCTTAACTATTCCATTGAGTAGCTCTCAAGTCCAAGGGTGAGGCAGCAGAACAGAAGACCAGAGGAACCAGACATGAATGTGACTGCCCGTGGCTCACCTTTGGCTCACCAGTCACATCCTGTAAGGAGATCCCAGCTAAGATCCTAAGCAAATACCACTCCAGGTGTCATTCTTTATACCATCCTCTCTGTGTCATCATCTAATGTACTGAAATGTGATAGTTTCACATACAGCTAGTGCGAAACTGGGACATTTCTTCCTTCCCTACCATCCAGCACATTTTTCACTAAACACTCTGGCTGCTTTGGGAACAGTAATTTTTCCATCCCTCCCTCTAAATAGGTCTGCTTTACACAGGAGTTCCACTTCATGCTTCTCAAGCTGCATCTAGCTATTCCAGCAAGAGTAAAGTTGACTTATGGGAGCCCACGCTAATTAAGCCAGAGACAGTTCTGATTTAGAAGACATTTAAAATACATTTATAGAAGAGAAATTCAGTTTCATTTACCCTTTATTACATTGTTCTCCACAATAAAACTCTTTGGTGACATTTCAGCTTTTATGACATTAGAAAGTATTAAAAGAAATACAGCAGATAATTATATCACCTACTGCACATTAAATCAACGCAGCATTAAGTGTCCAACTCTTTAGACCTCTTCGCTGGACAACTGTTCAGAACATGGACCTATAGCCATCCATGTGCAGACCCCCAAAAGGGAGAGATAATTTTCACTTTGGTGGAACTTTGAGTAAAAAAAAACCTAAAAACACCACAGAAGGATAGAGTAACTTGGGTAGGAAAGGACATTTGGAGGTCATCTAGTCCAACCCCCAGCCCAAAGCAGAGGTAATTAAATCAGGCTGCTCAGGGTCATGTCCAGCTGAGCCTCAAACACCTCCAGGGACACATTCCACACCCTCTCTGGTTCCAGCATTTAACCACCCTCAGTGCAAAGAAGATTCTCCTAACATATCAGAGTCTCTCATGATCCAGACTGTGCTTCTTGCAACAAAGATGCAACAATATAGTGCAACTAGACTCTACAAAAGGGCTAACCCACCGAGGGGCAGACAGTCATGCCCATCAGGATCTCTATACGTATTGTTAGTTGAGGAAATAAAAAGCCTCACAAAACACCTACTCTGAATTTTAGATCTACACGCAGACAGCTTGGGGACATACCAAGCCCCAGTTGTGGTGCTGAAGCATAGGTCAAGGAGGACTTGCTGGCACAACAAAAAATGAACACAGCATTTTCTGGAGCACTTTCGCATCCGAGGGCAGTACAGCATTTCTAAATAAAGCCCGATTCTTAAGCTGGTAGGCCTGGAAGAGGTAAGTGCTGGTACACGTCTATGGCTCCACACAGATCAGCATGAGGCCAGCAAGAGTTTAGTAGCTTTGACTCAGCACAGACCTGCCAGATCCCGTCTGGCTCTCCTGGGAAACACTCAAAGTCTCTCTGCACTGTGCTCTGGGCTCCAGAAGGGTCTCTTCAATCAGGCGCTCCCCCTCACCATCCCTTGTGACGCACAGCTGGCTGGGCGCAGCAGCAGTGCGCCCGCGGTGCCATCACCAGGATCACGCTTTTCCCTTACAGCCGTCCTGTACACAGTGGCTTGGAGGGGGGCAGGGATGCCAGGGAACAGTCTCATTTTCTCACTCATTGGGCTTCTACTGTTCAGGAGCAACCTCTGGATTTAAAAGGGGTATGTCCCAAGAAAGAGAGTTGTTTTAAAATTTGAATGGGGAAACAGTGTGTGCTTTTTAACCTGTTTTAGACATGCCAACAGAACATGCTTGCATGTGACCACTTCAAGAAACTCCTTCTCTTTGCCTCCCATAGAAGTCCTGATATTAAACATCTGGTTGGGGTTTTTTGTTTGGTTGGTGTTTTTGTTAAGATAGCTAATGACATATTCCAGAAGTCTACACTTTTCACTTTTTAATGTTTCCTGGTGCATCCGCATCATTGCTTTACCTTGCTGACCTAATGGTGATACAGCACAATAGAAGGCCATTACAAAAATAAACTGTCTACACGAAAAAGCTTTTCAAAGCGAATTGAACCCACTCCCACAAATGGCCAAAAGAAAGCCAACGAGATAGTAGCGATGGGGTCAGTGAAAGTCTCAACAGTAAGTCATGTGTACCCAATTCAAAGTGTCAGACAGCAGACCCCATTCCCATTGTTAAGGGAAGGTAATTACACAAAGTCCAATAAGGAAACAACCAAGAAAATAAGACTCTATAGACCTCATTGTTCCAAGTCATTATTTAAAAATTACTTTACTAGTTTCATTATTTGAAACGGACCTTCAGAGCCAAGTCCTGAAGCATCACCAATCGCCATGCACCCTGTTCTATGCTCCTCATCTCCCTTCCAACAGCTCTCCATAAATGAATGATCTTTCACACAGAAAAAAAAAAAAAAACAACTGCCTACACTAAACAAACCAACCGTAAGAGGGGGAGAAGATACGCAGGAGTCCCCACGCTGCTCAGCTAGCACACCTGCTTTACCCTGCTGCTTGAATCTCAAACCTGCCAATCAACAGCTACTGTCCATCTGCCCAAAATACAGAGCGGGGTGAGAGAAGCAAGCAAAAATTTCTAACAGGTATTTTTGCCGTTAAATTGTACATTGCCATCTGACTACGATCATTCCTAACTGGGTCAGGAAAATCTACATTTCCTATGATTTAACAGAAGAGAAAGAAAAGTCGTGTCATCCCACCTGGTTATAATTTCCAACAAACATAACAAAGAAAATACATTCAAGATCCCAAACAAATCTCAGAAAGAGCCTTGTTTATACAGACAGTTGACTGCATCCTTGAATTTGGCCAGTTAAATATACCACCACAGTGCTGTGTTCCCAGCCTAGGCATTTAAAACACATCAGTTAACAACTAAGTATATGAAGTGCAGGAAGTAGATTATTTATTAGAAGAGAACAGTTGTTGAAATTTCACTCCAAAAAAACATGTATCTTTTTCTGTGTATTACAGAATGCTGTCAGCTACTGCTGGCAGGAGGGCACCTAGTTAATTCTGGATCATTACTACTCCTAATTTCAGCAGCATGCACAGATCCCACATGACCTACATACACAAAACAATAACACCACCATCTTTATATTTGGTCCCTAAAATACCTCTGACATACTCGAATGTAAAAAGTATTTTTTTAAGTGACAGCTATGATACTGTTATTTTACCTAGATGCTGAATATAAAGCAACAGCAAAAGACTTAACTGGGTTTTACAGCAGATACATCCTGACTTAAGGATACTGATTTTTCTATTCCACACCATGACTTTGACATAGATTGCGACCAGAAATGAATCACCCATGACAGCCAGTGCAAATTTATACAGCCAAAGGCTTCTGAAGGGGAGATCTCACTACAGTACTATCAAAACTGACAACTATGCAAAGTTCAATCTAGTCATCACAGATGTGACCAGGCTGTACAATAATATTTAATGCCACAAGGGCAATGAAGCCTGCCTGAAGCTCTTTCAAGGAAAGACTCAGCATTCCAACCCAAACACGCTGCCGAAGTTATTCAGTTCACCCTCACCATCAACTACTTTACCCAAAACCCTACTACACATTCTGGAAGATCATACAGTAGTATTTTGAAAGAAGTCAACCCACCTCCAACCCAGTTCCTGCACACCTACTCACACACTCTCCTGACACTGCTCAACTTACCCCAGTTGCAATTCCCCTCCACTCATCCTCAACGAAGCCTTCAAGGTTTCACACAAACACACACATGGTCTCTAAGTGAACTGTTTGCTGTACTGTAGGAATAAACTTACTTCAATAGGAAAACGTTTATGTTTACTCATCACAGCTACAAGATCATTATTTATGAAAGATTAAAGAAATCTCACTTCAGTGCATGTTTCATGCAAAAAAATTCTTTGCCAACAACTATTCTATTCTTTTTTTTTTTTTCAACTGCTGGAAAGAAGGCACAAATAGTGAGAAAAGGAAATGGGAGGCAGGGGAACCTAAAATGCCAAAAAAAAAAAAAAGCCCTTTTCAAAAAGTAGACACAAGAGAAGATATTATACTTTAACATACTTATATAGGTTTGGGGTTTTTTTTAAAAAAAAGCTGTTAGCCTTATAATTGCAGTGCGACAGCACTCTCTTTCAATCAAAAGTGAAGCAAAAGATAAGCTGGATTCAATCCAATATCCAGACACAGTAAATACATACTCTTGAAAATAATATTAAAAAACTGGCACGCCAACCCTGACACCTAGACAAATATTTGCTAGGTGCTCTACATCTCTATGATCCTTCTGCAAAAAAAATGGCAACTTTTATTAATACATTCTACTACACATTATTAATACAAACGTCCAAAACAAGTTCCACGTCTACAACGTATCCTCTTGTCTTCGGAGTTGAGCAGTACACTGGTAAGAGAGGGCTTCTAACGCTTTCAGGAAGATGGCCAGACGATAGTTTCAGGACCCTTTTCACAAACACTCTGGAGGTGGTGGAAGCCCACGGCTCTACCAGCTGGCCATGAACTGAGGTACCAGAAGGTCCTAGTCCCTCCTCTCACATGAATGCAGCTGAGAGTACGTGGATGATACAGCTTAATCTGAGCGCAAAAAGGAGTGGGGCAAAGTGGGATGAAACAACAGCCTTAAGTACTGAATTTTTACATTTCAGTTTCTCAAAAGCACTTTACGATGTCAGATAGCTAAAGGATGATTCATCCTGAGGACTCATATCCTTTACTAGTGTGCTTTCTTGACAGAGCCTGCAAGCTATTGAATCAAGCTCTCCTGGTTTTTCAGTTGGAAACTGATTAGACCAATCCCTAAGTATGAAGAAAGACAAAAATGTACAGATATAGAGGGAAGAGGGGAAGAAAAACAGCGATGCAGGAGTTCAAGCCGAACAATATTGAGAGAGAGACCTTTTTACTGGCATTTTTACGTGTACAGCCTGATAACATACTGCCTGGCATACAAAGGCCCATGCCTGTCCTCTGTACTATTTGTGTGCAAAAGAATTCACTTACTACAGAGAGTGAAAAAAAAAATCATAAAATAGCAGAGGAGAAAAATGAAAGTAGAAGAGAGAAACCTAAAGAAGAAAATCCTCAAAATACAATCCTCAAAGTAAACATACACCTAATTGGCAGTATCAATTAGAGGAACCTGACTAGTATCGTATTTTAAGGAACATGAACTTGTGCTCTAATTTCTTGAGCGCGCTAAATTTTAAGTAGATTGTGTCACCTAACCTCCAGCTTCTTTTGCCTCTGGAACTCCTTAATAAAAATTAAATTGTTTTGCTTCCCCCCCCCCCCCCCCCCCCCCCCACACCAACAAGAGGCGAAATGTACAATCTCTCATAATAAATAATTATAGCTATAAAACCTTTGTCTTCTATACAAAATGGTATTTCAGTGTGAACTTTCACAAGTTACAATTTTTTACAATTTTACAAATGCATATGGCACTGTACAAGAAGTTACAAGGTTTCGCATGCAGGGAAGTATGCAATCTAGAAGAAAGAATGGAAACAAAAAAGAACAAATATGTCAATTTGACAAACGAGCTTTAGAGAATCTTGCCATGGCGGTTAAAGACATAATCAGGTATCTCATTCTCTCTCAACCCCTTGCACCTGAGTCCGTAAAAGGTAAGATATGCCCAGCTCTGACTTTCCATCAAGGAGTCCAGCTGGCTAGCTTATGCCGCTGGCTAAAATGGGTTTGAGCTGAGAATGCTGTTTGACATTAGAGCTAATCGGATCTAGTGGTCAGCTGCTATGCAACGGCTGGTCACCTTTCCCAGACACATACTCACTGTTGCTTCCCCAGACTTCGCAGAAAGTGGTTCAGGAACAAACTGTCCCCACTTACAGAAAAGGTTACCTGCTAACTTGATTTCCTAAGCTGGCTCAGCAAGGGGTCAGACTAGGAGCAGTGCCAAGGAAGGAGCAGGAACATACAGGCACACTTCTGATGCCTAGCAGCAACTAGCTAGTAACTAGGTTGCTATCCCTACTGCCAAATTGCACATTAAGGCGGATCCTAAACTGAAGCAAGATAGGCATAAATCTCTGCTGGCTTCACCGGGGAGGACAAAATCTGTTCAACCAGCAGAAAGCTATGTTCAACACAGCATTCTGCTAGCTAAAAAGGTAGCAAAATCCTTAGACTAACACAGTATGTAGTAACAGAGTTGGTCTCCCTGATTTCTAGTCTAAAAAGTACGTAAAACAAGAACTCAAATTTGTAACATACTTTATAATTTTGATACAGACAGCATTTAGCTGTAGTTACTTAATACCACTCAGCGATGAAATTCCTACCCCTTGTAGGGGTAGAAGAGGTTTGCTTTCGTTTCATCACTGACAGGAGCAAGAACAGGAACTCAGTCCAGTTGTTGATGGCACTCCTGTGAGTTTTCCGCTTCCAGACAGGGTATTTGCATAAAACAGAACTTCAAAATACAAACTGCAGATGTTTCTTATTTCACGTTTGGCACACAGACTACATATATTACCTCATGCCTGCTATGTTGGCTTGCCTCTTTGTCTTTGGACTCAATGCACTATTCACCCCATAGAAACACAAAATTATATTCTTAGTTTCCATTCACTTCCACATAGTAACTGTGGAGAAGGCTACCTTTTAAACTTGGAAAGTTTATCATTTAGAATGTAAAGAGGGGAATATCTAGGAAAATAAACACATTAAGTTAAGCTTAAAGTTAATATAAACTTCGAACAGCAAGCCCTCAGGACATGCAGTCAGCTCCCAGAGCCTGTTAAAAAGCCGTGCACTAGCAGGTGACCAGCTGAATCTTTCTCCTATCAAAAAAAAAAGCTAATGATCACAGATTATCATCTATATTTCAGCCCTTCTTGCAGCTTAGCTTTACTGGTATTCAAAACTATGATCAGGTAAGATTTTCTCCAAACTATTTGTCATTACTACATTTCTCTGACAGAATTACCTTTGTCCTCCCTCTTTCTATTTAAAGAGTTAATTCAACCTCCTCTGTATGTGGGGGAAAGTGAAGTAATCACAGCTGGTAGAATAAGTCAAAAAATACTAATGGTTTTAAGCACTTCCCACACTTACCAAAGTGGATCAAATAAAGGAGTCTAGAAGTCTTACTTTTTTCAAACATAAGCAAAATTTATCTCCTCCTTGTAACCAGATATCAGATCTAAAGATACCCTTGACACTAAAATAAATGGTGAAGACAGAGATATATATAAAAAAAAAATAAATCTCTGCAACGTTTTGCTCAAGTATAACAACACTCAGTTTTTCCCCATCATTTTTCAAAGACATCTAATG